GTTGGCAGTTAGAAATAAACCCTTTGACGGTTCAATTTTAGGTAATTTAACGATTGACGGTTAATTTGTTGGAATGTCGTTTATAAAACGAACTAAACGCGCTGATTTGGCTGTAGTTTTTTCTAGTTACGCGTTAAAGAACGTTGCTAACGTTTTATGACACCAGGAAATGTTTCCACACCGATAACAATTCTGGTGAAAGCAATGGAAAGTTTTAAACCTGTAGCTGCTAATTAGCCAAAATTTTAACCGTTGGCCGTTAAAGCCATGACTCTTTTAGATCCTCCAATACGACTGTCGTGCTAGATATCTCTGGATTTAAGAAAAGTCTGTCAACGAGTACTATTTTTTTTTTAATTAATCCCCCCCCCCCAATTAAAAAGCAATAATAATAAAAAAATTAAAAAGAATAAAATAAAACAGTAAAAAAGCGCAGATCTCAGTGCGTTTCACTATTTCACTAGTCTCATTCATCCTATAATCTAATGTCATACAATCAAAGACAGCCACATGAAGTAAGAACTCTGAGCAAGGTTGAGTACAAAATTGATAATGAGATACTGAAATATGACATTCACCGAGAGACAAGAATACAGATCATTCACCCTTACTTAAGCATTTGTAAGATGGCGGATAATTAAAATTCAAACATGATCCTATCAAATAATTAATAATGATTAACTACGTAGTACAGTAAGAAAAGACCACAATCAATCACCTAACATCATCAATGTTATTATTACATTTTATTAATTTTATAGGCGAGACTGCGACAAGCTCTAATTAAGAGATAGCGTGAACAGATGAGATTGCCTAAACGAGCTAAAAGTATAGTTTACTTTTCGTTTACATAGAACATAATTCAAGGACAGGGTTGCTCAAACCACCATTAAACCACCCCAATGTCAATGGAAATTGCAAAGACACACACTATCGATATTTCGTTCACTTCTGCCTTTTACGGATTAACGCTACCCGTCTTATGAACAATCCACTTAAGCATTAATATACTCAAGAACAGATATTTGATTTTCATATTCAATGTCGCTGTCTTCATCCTTTGACTTCACAAGGGAAGCGTAAGTTCGGGAACCATCTTCATCAGAGGTCTGCAAAATATTCAGTCGTTAGAAACACGATGGTACTATTGACTTAGTAGGCGTGCATGGTTATCGAAACCTGCTCTTGAGTCCTTTCAAAACTATTAACGCTTGAAAACACGACTAAGCTCGTAAATAGAATGAAAAAAAGTTGAAGGAAACCATAAACGTTGCCAAGTGAAATTAGACAGTCGTTAATTATACTTCTAGTTATAACATTCTTTTTGGGTAATTCTAATCTCTTTGGTTGTGTAATTACCATCACTGACTCTGAACACAGTGCGGTATATACACCCTCCTGTTGGACAGATGGGTCACTTTGGTTTCTCTTACTTCCCGCCGCTAAGCTAAGCTGGGCACCGACATTCAAAGCATTCAACGGCAAGCGTTCTCAGAAGCCATGTTGATTCTTGTAGAATGACAGCATACAAATAAACAATGCAGTGGCCTATTCAAAGTGTCTTTCAAAGTTGCATTAGCCTGGCTACCTTATGAGACCAAGTCTCTGTGACTAGACAGAGGGGAAGACAAGGAACGGCTTTCTTTCGGAATCATACGTCTTAACACTCCACTAACATGCAGAAGGCGAGTCTAAAGGTTTCACCTTACTCTGATTGCAAGAGGGGGTCGTGTTAATCTGGAATAACATACTGGAGAGTTTTTCCGTGCTGTTAGCTTTTGTCACTTTTAAAAATATTGGAAAGTTTTCATTCTTCCCGGGCGGTGAAATGTCTTTTTTGCTCTCCTGGATCAATCCAATCGCATATTTGATTTACATCAGACTGAATAAATAAAAATAAAAACAGGTGAAAAGGGGGCTACTTACTTTATAACAGTTTCTTTTATTACATCTGTTGAATAAAATCAAATACCATCATCAGTCCAAAATAAGAAAAAAAAAATTGTAACATGAAACAACAAAAAACAAAAACAAAAACAAACAAACAGGAAAAAAAAATTCTTTTTATTTTCTCCGAAGAGTTAAAATTTGGGCTCATGTAAAAGTTGAAGCCAGGCTTAAACAGACATGTAGGCTGAATAACTTGACCAGCCAAGAAGGCGTGGCAAAGCTTAGAGGATCTCAATGGCGTTTAACGATAGCTGTAACACGACTGAAAACTTTAGGCGTTAGTTGCAAAAATTGAAACATTTCAAGCGATAGTCGTAAAAAGAGTTAACACTAAATTTCTGGTGAAAACGTAGGAATGATGTTAACCGTCAGCCGTAAAAGCCATCACCTCAATAAGACACCCAGCTTGCCTAGAATTATTCACTATATTGTTTGGGGCGTCTTGATTGATATTTTCTCGATTTGGCATAGCGTAATTTGATTGTTCTTTAATTAGGTGTTATTTTTGCAGAATCAGTCGATCTTCAAAGGCAGCATAGT